AACAACACCCCTTGCAGTGGTAGTGCTGCTGATAAGAGCAGGAAAACGGGTCCAGCGTCAGGTTACCCTATAAGAAAAACAGATTTTCGTTTTTAACTTTTTAATACTTTTTACTCACTTGTTTTCAAATAGAACAGCCCTTTGAATATAACGTCCTGGGGGTTATATTCGAATAGAACGCACATGCGTTATATTTTGGAATGTTCTGTGGGCAGAGTGCCTTGCAGAGGTGGTAGTACAAATGGGTTTTAAAGGGCGGGGAGGGGGGTATACATGGGTTTTAAAGGGGATTGAAAGGGGTTTTGACTTCCAAGGGGTATGTTTCGGTTTGATTTTTTGTTTTCATTTTTTATGTCTGAGTTTATAAGGAATTCTGAAGTGACCCTCAGCCAAAAGTTGGTCGCAGTGCAATTTTGGACAACATATTGTTTTTAGTACTTTTTACAGAACTTTTTGATTTTTGTTTTTTCCGGGTTTTTTTTTTTTTTTTTTCCGGAATTTTGGGGCCCAACCGAAGTCGCCACCAATTTACTGAATATAACGCCCAGGCGTTCTAAACGAATATAATGCCCGGCAGTTATTATATTCGTATACAATGCCTGCGCGATTTTTTCGGGGGAAGACGGTTGAGTCGCCAGAGAACTGTCTCTCTGCATGAGGAGGAAGAAAGAGGACACAGTTTCTTTGTCAGGCAAGTAGGAAAAGCATTTTTTTTTTTTTTTTTTTCCATCTCCAATATTTGCAACAACCCCTGCATCAGTTGGCACCTTTTTCAGCTGCTCACTGTGACAGCAGCTGCCATCTGTGATCTGCTCACTGTGACTGAGGGCGCCGGTTGGAATCCTGCGGGCACGGAGGAGGTCCGAGGCTGATAAAAGTACACACTGACAGTTCCCACCTGTCTCACTTTGCGGATTGCCACATGTCAGCTCTTCACTGTGACAATTGTGACTGGTCAGCTGCCCACTGTGACAGTTGGCACCTTTTTTCAGCTGCTCACTGTGACTGAGGGCGCCGGTTCGAATCCCTGCGTGCACGGAGGAGATCCGAGGCTGATAAAAGTACACACTGACAGTTCCCACCTGTCTCACTGTGACAATTGCCACGTGTCATCTGCTAACTGTGACAGTTGGCACATGTGAGCTGTGCACTTCAACAATTGCCACCACGTGCCAGCTGTACACTGAGGATGGGAACCTGTCAGGCGCTCACGACGACGACTGCCATTGCTGTTTGTGAGGTACTGCCACTTGAAAGATGCCCACAGAGCGACAGATGGACAAAACTAGTGTGCTGCATGCCTTTTTAACCGAATGGCCAGATACAGTGAATCTGATTAGTGGGTAGACACCAACCATTTTCACCAGCCAGTTTCAAAGATGCAGAGGTGTAAATCCTCCTGAAAGCCCAACAAACCACACCTCAAGCTCTTCCCAGCTAGATGCGGAGTATATGACACCAGACTGTTTCAGCCACGACCACGGCGAACCCCGATTATACGCCTTGGCCATCGCGATGGATGCACCGAGCAGAGGTTCAATCTGGATATTGTACTCTTCCGCTACAGTTCGAAAGGTACTACCCCCTCCTCGCATCACGATTCCAATGTCGGCCTCCAACATCGGAGGCAAATCCGTCAAGCTGTCACCGATAAACACGATGAATGGTGCGCTGCCACCTTGCCGACCGCCTGATTGCTCTGCTTGCAACTTGCCTGGAGCTTCCAACCCTTCCTGCCGAACCTGCCCGTTATTACCCGCCGCCGCCGCCACCGCCGTACCCCCCTCCATGTCTACACGACACTCTGCGTCCTTGTTCAGACTGCTCATACCTCCTCTTCTCGGAGCTCGACTTGAATCGTCGACAGCTTTGCACACCTCCAATGCCTTGGTGTCCTCAAGTGAACTCTGTCGCATGCGCTCTAGCACCAGTGATTCTACAACTTCCACTTCGGAATCGTCGCGCTGCTTTGAACTCGAACCCCCTGTGAATGTTGTTCTTGTCGACTTTGCACTGTCGCGGTTCTGCTGCGTGGTGAACCTGGAGGCCATTGTTGCCTTGAGAATGCACAGCTTATCCAGGGGTGTCTGCAGCCTGTATAGGATCTTCCCTGTCGACTTTCCATCACTATCCCATTCCAGCTCATTTGCATTAATGTGTATCCGATCAATGACATCTGTTGTTTGCCACACAGAAAGAACCCACATTCAGTAAGTACTCTCTCTCTCTCTCTCTCTCTCTCTCTCTCTCTCTCTCTCTCTCTCTCTCTCTCTCTCTCTCT